ATTATTGACGATGTCCTTTCCTCTAAAACTACACTTTTTCCTTCTGCTGCGGAAGCGGCGTTGTCGGAATCTTTGGCTTCCTTTCTCGGTGGCCGAAAGACGCACGTGCTAGCAGCGTGACACCCACCAAAGATCTGCTAAGATCGCCATAATAACACCCATTTAAATTGTTCATGATTTTGGCGCAAACACAGTGACAAAAATAAAATGAGAAGCTTGAAAAAAACAATTGTGGTACTGCTACCTTGAGTCTAAGAAGCTTGGACATTGAGTTCCAATAGCTAGTTTCCCAACCAGCGGAATTACGATACCGGTACTGGAGTACCCCTCACTTTGATCTCTCCCGCTAGCTATTAATAGTCTTTGTCCTACAGTATCCCCCTCCTGGCCCATTGGAATTTCTTTTGGCACATTCCACTGTTGGCCTGCTTGCTCCTGGTTGTGCTTCATCCTGTTCCTGCTCCTGCACTCAATTCCCGGCATCCACTCTCCCCATACCGTAGCTAGTCCACTCTAAACCATCGTAACCTCTCCGCGGATCAGTTTTCTCCCTTTCTCACAAAAGAAAGTGGAGAGATGAAACAATGGTACCATACCTGGTACTGGGTTCATCACTCTAGTAGAGTGCCTTGAAATCGGGTGAAGGCAATAGGTTTTTTCTTTTCTGTTTCCATGCATCTTTGTTCCCGTTATCAAGAGCATGGAACTTTAGAATTGGAGAAACACTACTAGCAGTGTATCAATACGAGATAATACTATACTAAACGAATGCTTCATCATGAGATGGGATATCTTATTTTAAAGGTAGACGTTTGGTGTCTCCAACAGCAGGAAGGAACAGAAGGAACAGACGCCGAATGCAAGAGATCAACAGTTACATACAGTACTCGGATACCGGTACCCGTGGGAGTCAAGGCTCTGACATCCTTGCGTACAGGCGAGGACTATCAGCTTTGTTGCGGACGTCAACTGCAGCACTCACATGCTGCTGCTTTGTGTGTGTAGCTTGGAAATAATCTAGAGCAGCGACGCTTCTTGACAAGAACAGCGAACATCCGATATCCAACAGCGAACGACCATCGGTATCATCATTGACAAGGCCTACATGAACAAAGCAAACCGGGGTAAGACGACCTGCCAAACAGAAGAGCCAACGTTACCTTGACAAAAGGACGACCCAACCAGTCTCTGGAACCACCGCAAGATGACTCTGGAATCTCAATCCATCAGTGTCATCGTCATGCATTGAATGGTCTTGTGAAACAGTTGTAGAAAAATGCGCAACTGCATGATGGAGTTGGTTGAATCGTTCGAATCGAATCATTCGAACTCGAGGTTTTGATTTTTGCCCCAAGATCGAGTCCTGGATACTCCTGGTGCGAAAGATCCGCCTCAGAAGCGCTGCAACCCAACGGCATGAAAGAACGACGACCATTGAGCAACAATCTGACACTGTAGGAAGCTCGGGGGGGCATCAAAGGATGAAACGGTGTGGATACGGTATAGTCGCCACGTTGATTGATTTCGCAGGCTTGGCTTGGAAGCCGAGCACTGTCTGCAGCAGAGGTTCTTTCTCCGCGTTGGTGGCAAAGGAGCCAAGTTTTGGAAACGATGTCACCAGCCAGGCGGAGCGGGGCAGCATACTCTTCCATTGTTTGTCCGTACGGTACCGTACCGGTACATGTACCTCCTCCTTCAGTCTCCCACCAAGGATTGTCCGATCCATTTTCAACTTGCTGCTCGTGAACAGACCCAGATACCTGTTGGGTCTTCTCTCGACCCCGCATCCCACTTGCTGCAATTTCCAAATCTTACAACACGCCTTGTATTTGGGTCAGCTCTCGGATGGCTTCCTTGGACGGTCACGTTCAATGATGTGGATCCCGACAAGCAGAATTACAAGCAGTTGCTTAAAGATCTTTGGGACGATGGCATGCTCTGCCACGACTTTTTCGCTTCCAAAGTTGGATATCAACGACAACGACAACGACAACGACAACGACAACGACGCTCTCGAAGGCGAATATGGTAACGGTACCTTTGAATGATCCTGATGGGGAGACCGCGTGTGATATCTGCTAATGAATGGGGCCAAGCATATAGACACAGAACCTCAAAAGAGTTTATCACAGTATTATGCGTATAAAAATCCTACCAATGTTGGTCCTAACTTGAGAACTAGCCATCAGCGCCATCGGTACAGCAGCCGAGGACAGCTCAGGCCGTGGTTTCGGACATCTCATTGCCATTTTCCCCCGTAGCATCACAGACTTCAGGATCTTCGCCCTTATCCACCGTCACATCGTTGATAGCTTCATCCTCGTTGTCCTCTGCTCCCCGACAACCTGGTAAAAACCAGCAGCACAGTTCACCAATGTCACCGCGACCGGATCTGTAGCCTCCTTCTGGCGGCGGAGGAATCCTGCCAATGCTTGGATACTCCAAGTACACGCAATTGCGAAAGATCCGCGAGAGACCCAAGGGTAACGAGTAGACCTTGATGTACTCGGGATCATTGACAGTGTCCGTGTTTCGTACAGCATCCCAAACATGCAGACCTCGTTCCTCTCTGGACTTTGAGGGGACCGTGTTGTCCAAGATGAAGGCTGAAAGGAGTGCAATGATCATGGGAGAACTGAAAATGGCCAATGCTATTTGAGCTCCATTGGAATCGCCAAAGGGATTCTCCTCTTGGGTGCTAAAGTAGCCTCCGGGCCCTGCGACGGACAATGAATTGAACAAGGCAAAACCAATAATGAAGAGGTTGCGCTCACTGTTCAAGTCCACATACTGAAGCGTCGACAATCCGACAGCCACAATGAGACCAAAGACGCAGCAGTAAATGCCACCGACCAGGGCTGAAGGCATGCTAGCGAGCAGTCCCGACACCTTGGAAATGACACCGACAAGGATCATCACGACGGCTCCGCATTGGATGACAGCTCGACTGCCAACTCTTGTCAAGTTCATGGCACCGATGTTCTCCGAGTACGATGTAGTGCCATTGCCAGTCCCAAACAGACCCGCCAAGACAATGCCAATGCCTTCTCCCGCCAATCCTCGGCTCACAATGCCAGCGGTGGGAGGTGGTGCGCCTGACAATCTGGCGCAGGAATAGTAGTCACCTGTTGTAAGAAGTACAGAGTGAAGACAGGGTCAGCACTTGTTGATCAGGCGATTCCCAAGCAAGTCTTCGGATGACCTTACCAATGGATTCGATCATCTGTCAATACAAAATAGCAACGCAAGACAATGAGATGTGAGATCATGAAACACGAGAACCATAGTGCCGATACAAACAAACAATGTACTCACTCCTGCCGCCATGCTTCCCAGCATTGGCACAATGGCATACGATTCAAATCGAGGTGCTCCCCATTGACCAGGATACGGGATGCGAAACCATGGTGTAGACTTTAGTAAATCGCGTGCTGCATCCGTGCGACAAAGGTGACCTTCTTCCCAAACGTCGGCAGCTGTCAAGATGGCACCAAAACTCCACGTCAAAGAAATTGCCAACACGATGGGAAACAGGGCAAAGATGGCGTAGCCACCAATCTTGATGTTTTTGAGATACTGCGAAAAGAGGATCGTCAATCCAATCTGGAGCAATCCAATAGCAAAGCAATTGCTGACATTGTTAAAGCCGACATTGTATAGACCTAATCCGATTGCAGCTACAACAGGGGCAATTGTGACGGGAGAGATGTAGCGGAGCATGGGCACAATGATGCCAGTGTATCCAATCGCTGTGCTTTGACAAAGTTGAGCAGTAGTTGAGACACCCATAATAAGGAACTGAGCACATCACTTGTAGCAATATCCCATTGCTTACCCATTTGAACCAACCCCACCACAATGATGGCACCTTGAATGACACGCATCGTCTCGTGAAATCTGTCATTGTCATTTTCGATGCTCTGCAAACTTTCATGAAAGATAATCGTAAAGGTGGCTGGCAAGTAGGCAAAGGAACCGGACTGTACAATGGGCAAACGATCCCCAATTGTGGTTTGGATCAGGGTGTTGATGCCCGCCACAAAAAAGGCGGTGGCAATGACTTGGGCAGTTTGCTCTTGTGTGGCGCCCATGGCCGGGGTCAGAATCAAGGGCACCAAAACGGAGGCACCCAACATGGTGAGGTAATGCTGGACTCCCAACAAAATGGCGGTGGGCAATGGAGGCACATCTGTCACCGTGTAGACCATGCCGTTGGCCTTGGAACGTTCTTCGTAGGTCGATACCTCCTTGGGAGCTTGGATGCTCTCCATGGTTTCTTCTGGCTCCAAATCGCCGGTACCAACGCTGATATCCTTCTCGTTGGACATGATAGAAACAGTAACAAAGCTTCCTCTCTTCTGCTTTTTGTGTGAGAAACACCAAGAGAGACACCTCAGCTGCATCCTTTGAAGCTACTCACCCTCCCTTCCAAAAAGTGGCAAAATGAAACGACGGGAACCCGAAGGATGGAAAGAGAAGCGTTCTTCTGAGTTCTGGGTAGAACCTTGCCAGCGTGCCCTCATTTTTGTGTCACACGTGTGCATGCATCCCACTTGCCCCCCTAGCTAGCTAGAAGGTCAAAGGATCCGGTATCGTAGCCAACAGTATTTGCGGATGGTCCTACAGCTACCGGTATGTACCGTATCCTATCTGAGCCATCACGCACTCTACCGGTAGGGCTAACGATAGTCTTAGGGAGCGCCCTGCCTCGTTCTGGAAAAGCAATTAAGTTCGGCGCCTGGTCACCCAGCAGCCAAGTCGTCAGTTTTTGCCTTGGCCATTACCTTTCCATTGCTTGATTGGGTTGCTGCGTCGAGATACTGCCCTGCCCCTGTCTGCTGGTCAGTACCTCCCAACCCTGAAGGGGTGTCATGCTCATTCTTCAGACAAACAAAATCTAACTTTTCATGTCACAATGTCACCTTACTCTGTAGTTCCACGGGGGGGAATTTTGCTAGCATTCTGCAACTGCTGTCACTCCCATCAACTGTGCAGAGAAGGGCATTGGATTCGGCCCTTTCCCAGACCTCCTTTCTTCCAAGATATCAGCATACCCATGCTGTTCTGGAAAGTAGTCGTTGTACAGGTCGATGGTCTTTTCGGCAAAGATGCCCAGAAAGTTAAAGCCCACCAACACTAGCAAGGGGAAATGAAACATGTCCCAACCTGTAAACTCTTCATGCCTTACATGTATATCCCCAAAACCAACAGTTGTGATTGTGACAAAACTAAACCAGTACATATCCTTGAGAGGCCGTGCAGCACCCAACCTGCCAGTTGTATAGGCCACTGCCACACCTGTCAAAACCAGCATCCACAGAAATGACATGGCCAGCCAGAAAAGAACACTGAGTGGGCCTCTTACAAGGTTTGGTTGATGCAGCTTCAGGAAGAAGTGGTCAAACATGTTCTTCCACACTTGAGCTGCTGTGTTGTTGAGTGCCAGGAAGAGTATAATTGTCAGAAACCCAGCCGTGCAGACCAGAAATCTCCCTTCGTCAGACTCTGGTGCTGTATTCCCATACCCGATGGTGGTCATGAGTGTGAACCAAAACAAGGCACCACCTGCAATGTGAACCTCACAACCTCTGGAGCCTGTGGCCTGGCGAACTAACTCAAGCACCACTTGCTTATTGGCAAATATTCTCTGCGTTGTGATGCCTGTTTGGTTCCTGAGCCGTACGAAGTCATTACCAAATCGGTGAAGATACCGAGCCTTCTGTTGATGGTTGTTGTTATGTTCATTCAAGCCAAGACCTTGGAGCCAGACTCGTGTGGCATTCTCATCTCCAATCGTATTTTCTTTCCAGCAATTCATCCAGTTGAATGTGAGTTCAGCTCCTGAGCTCACCAAGAAGGGAAGAACCAGAGTAATGGGGAATAAATCTTGGGCTCTTTCGGCAGCACAGTCAGAGATATTCTCTGTAGTCTGAATCAGGTTATCTGGGAATGCCTCGAGCATAGCGTCATTGCCCATTGCATTGGATAGACACTGCACAGATGTGTTGGCCATGGAACTGTAGATGGATTGTCGATCGGCAATGTGCTCCATGTACTTGAGAAAGACATTTCGCGTTGCTGCATCATTGCTTTCGATTTCTCCCTTCATTTCAATTTTGGCCAATATTCCACCAAATAGAAAGGCCATTCCAATGAGAGTCATCAGTGGCAGCACCAAGTGAGTTGAGATGTAGTACAGGTGCGGCATTCTGTGCTTGAAATTGTAGAGACGAGAATGTGCTTCTGTCATCATCTCTGAAGGATCGGCTTCTCCCTTTGGTTCATCCTCAAACATGTCTATCTCTGAGTCTGGTTCTTCTTGCTCATCATCGTGGGTGAAACTAGTACCGCTTGTGCCACCTCTTTCCTGCTCGCCTTCTTTCACTTCGTGTGAACCGTTGAAACCCTTCTCAGATGATTCCTCCTCTTCCAACTCGTTCAAGTCAGACTCGCGAGACAGTTCACGGCGTGTGACACGGTTGCCACCGCCGAAATGAAGGAAGATCAATGACATTGTGATTACAGTACTTTCGGAAACTAGTTGATGGCAAACTTCAAAGGTCGTGGTAGGATGTGGTCTTGGTCTTTTCGGCTGGAGCTGCCCTTCAAGTCTACTGCCTTGGTGCTCGATTGCGTGCTACCTGTACGGTGCAGTGCTATGGCTACTGGTATAGTCTCTCCAGCTCCAGGACGAGCTCTCACACAGCCGACAGCGAAGTTCTTAGTTTTCCTGGCATGGATCATCGATGGTCATCACTCATCCAGACAGCAGTTTGCCAGATTTACGTGGAGCTCAAAATAACTGAATTATGGCTTGCTTTTCTTAACAAGCCTGTGTTCCCTGCTGGCTTGTAGCTTAGCTTAATTCCCTAGACGCCTCTCCAGTACATCAATTCATACATTATGCCCTTGGTATTAAGCTACGAGTAAGTATTAGGCATGTCCGCGATAAGATTGTCAAGTTCTGAGTTTTGCTGGAATGCAAAGATTCGATTCTGGATACCAGTACACTCAGATCTGCACTACCGGTAATAGAGCTAAGAGCTAAGATACTCAGTGAGTACTCTCCCTTAGGCTCATAATATTAATAGATTGAAAGATGATACAATGACACTTTTCTACAACAAAATGCCTTTTAAAAACAGGTGCCAAATGGAGAAATTTTCCGCCACCAAAAGGTGATAGCTGCTCTTTGAGCGCTCTCTTCACCTTTTAGGGCCTATGCTTAGTAAGGTGGGAATCAGAGTAGAATTGTCCCATAACACTCTTCCTCCAGTCTGAATCTTAAGAGATAAAGTACCATACTACATTACACTGGTGATGGATCCTGAGCTAGCTAAAATAGATTATAAGATAAGTTCAGTATGAATATTGGTGATACTACTGAGGTGATCTCAGCATTGAGGCTTTCTTAGAGATAGCTTAATACCAAGGGCTATTAAAGTTTGTTGTACGCTTGCTCTTTGGTCTACCGTAGATCTTGATCCACCCACTTTTAACCACTGATGACCACAGATCCCTTATTTCCGAGGAGGCTACCTGGTACATTCTAAAGAACACTATTAATACTTGAGTACTACTAGTAAAGAGTATGCATAAGTCTTTATTCTGGAGTAATTACGATGTGAGTCACGACTCTCGAAAGATCCAAAACGCTTTCCGAGTTTTGGAGCTCGACTCACAAAACCCAAGAAAACCAAAACAAACCTCCGGTACCGGTAGGTCCAAAACTACACTCATCACCATGACATCTACACAAGAGTATTATTTTTGAGCAAGGATTGACTCTTTCAGGAAACCTCTATATCCCTGCTGGATTTGACTGTACCAGGAAGATTTTTTGGTGATGACGACGCATCTCGCAAGTAAGTGTGAAGATCTCCGCAGTGCAATTTCCTTCCTCAAGAGCAAATATGTTGGATCGTTGTTTTCTATCGGATTTTGTGGCGGTGGGACTGTTGCAGGCTCTGTTTTGATCACGGATCTTCTTGCCAAGGCCTTGGCGAGCGTCAGTGCCATGATGGAACAAAAATCCATTGCCATAGCCTCTGCAGCCAGTGCTGCTCGTGAAACTGTGCGAATTGGAAGAACTTAATAAAAGAACAACAATGGACCTGTTTGGTGCCGACAATCATGACTTTTTGAAGAATCCTACCAATATTTCCACTGCATAGCTTGAGCGATTCTATTCGATTACTCGGCACTCAATGAGCTGGAACCGATCCCTACCCAAGCTTTCGCAACCATGTTATGGCACACACCTACCGGTACGAGGTACGAGATGGTCACTTTGAATCTAGGAGATCAATATGCCGATAAGATGATTCAACCATACTACCTTGGCATTGTCGGCTCCACGGCATAAACAGCCATAGCCACCAAAAACTTTACGACAAGGTGACTTTCGTCACACCGAGTTGACGTTGGAGAGAGCAACACAACCAAGAGCAAAGCACACGTATGGCCAAAGAAACCTCTGGTTCCGAGCAGAAGGTTGTGTCATTATAGACCGAAAGTCTCAGGTGCTGGGTCTTCTCGAGCTACCGAACCACCTAAACCGACGTTATTTCCCAAGAGTATAGCAGACAACTATAGCGAAAGGATTGTGAAGAAAGAAAGCACTGTTCTATCTATCATCGATCACTACTTCGTGTGAACACCTTGATTCGTTTCCCATCTTCTCGTGCTCGTATCGTCACCAAGGCGACATCATCGTCCAGCAGCGCACCGCCCCCTTGCTTGAGAAGCTGCTCCTTTCGCACACTGGCTTGTGCGACAAACGCCTTGCCCACTTTTTGACGGGCCTCCTTATCGGTCGCTTCCACCCACCAAAAGCTTTTTGCGGATTGTTGTTTGAGAAAACGACCCCCGCCCTTTTGTTGTTGAATGGTCTGTACCACTTTCCACGTCATGGCGGCCTTTTCCGTTTTGAGTGCCCGAATGTAATCATCCACCATGGATTCAATCATACGTCGATAGGCAATGTTCCCCGGATGTTGATTGATGACTAATCCCTTGCCCAGCAGCACATCTTGGTTGGTGGGTAGATCAATTCTGTTGTGGCTGGCAGACAAACTCCAGGACAATCCCCCGTCTTTTTGAATGGATTCTTCCTTTTCCGTTCGTTTGGCCAACCATTGTTTGTGCGACGCCGTCTTGGTGATGGTTCCTGTTTTAGAGGACACGGGGAATCCCTGTTGAATGGGAATGCCATAGGTGACCAGTTTGGCCAAAATATCTTGCTGTGATTTTTCCTTGTGCACTTTGATGCTGTATCGGGTTTCTTTGGGACTGACGGCAATGACCGTTCTGGAAACAACCTCCTTGACTTTGCGTTCCATTTCGGTACTGCCACTACTCATGGCAATACAGACATGCACACTGGAGACTGGTCGAATGGGAAGCCACCACTGGGATTCAATGACGTATTTTCGAAACTCGGTATTGGCGTCCGTGTCCAAGCCCAAAAACTTGTCGACAAACCAAAAAATGTGAATGTACCCATTGCGTTGTGTTTCTTCATCTTCGGCAGCACAGAGAGCCATATACCAGAGACACTTGTAATGGGATCGAATGTCCGAATAGAGTTTGGGTCCAAATATAAAGGGATCCAAAAAGATGGCCCGTCCGGATCGATCTCGAAAGGGTAATTGTTGCACGGATCCGGCCTGTAGTGTTTTGAGATCCTTTTCTGTCAAGTCACTCATTTGTACTTCTCGACAGAGCGTTTGCATGCCAAAATGATAGACCTTTTTCTCCAGATAAAAGACGAGCCGACGGGCCGCCTTGATTGCGTCAAAGGAATCGGCCCGTAGAAACTTGAGTCGGAACTTGGGGTCTTGGACGTAGAGAGGCTCTTCTACCAGAGCCTTTTGGTAATACTGAATGGATAATGAGGACTTGCCTTCCTCAGCTGTCGCTGCTGCCTGCACGAGCTCGTTCAACGCTTGGTCCATTTCCTCGAGCTTTTGAGCGACAAATTCGGGCTCCTCTTGGATGACGGGTGCCACGCCGTGAATCTCTCCGTAGCGACGATCCAATTCTTCCATTGATAAACGTTCCATTTCCTTGGCCAACGATTTCTCAAAGGCTTCTTGGTTTTCATGCCGTTGCACTGCCAGCAAAGCATCATATTGCTCTTCGTCGTCCTTATTAGCATTAGTACATGTACTGGTAGTGCTCCCCACGGGCGTCGGATTGATGTCCTCCTCCCCATTCACCACTAACTGATCCACCCATTTCTCCAAGGCGACCCAAGCATCTGCATCCTCGATAGTACCGTTGTCCTCTCGGTCCAGGGCGGGCATGTTAGGACTGGAAGGAGTATCAGGGGCAGCGGTATCAAGGGTATCAGCAGCAGCCATGGTGTCGATGGTGAGTGATAATGAATTAGAAATTAATTGTAGACTGTCAAAAGTTTCGTTGGCGGCTTTTTTATGGGGCGAGATCCGTGTGGTACCGGTATCATTGTGCTGGAGTGGGCAGTTTCCACTGTGATCCAGGAAGCTTCCGAGAACATACATCGTGACCAGCAAATGGGACTGGAACCTAAAAGAAGGCACCCATGGCCCACGCATTTGCTTGTTGAAAAGGTGTGAACTTGAACGCACAATTTCTCTAATTTAATCAATATCCTTCCAGCTC